TCAGACTCTCTCTCTCTCTCTCTCTCTCTCTCTCTCTCTCTCTCTCTCTCTCTCTCTCTCTCTCTCTTGTTCTTCACCTCCTCCCCCCTGCCACGCCCGTTTTTCCTTCTTCTCGTTACATTTTATTTTCTTTTACATTCTTTTTTTTTTCCCCCGTTTTTCTTGGGGATACAGGTCGTTGGCGCTGGGTACCCCGCTCGACGCAGTGCATTAACGGCCCCGTCCGTTTTTTTTAGCTGGGCAAGGTACTGGTGGTTTAATCCTTTGAATGAGGTCCCATTCGGGACACCTGTCTTCCTTTCATTTTTCTTCTCCTCCCTCTTCTCCTCCCTCTCCTCCTCTTTTCTTCTTCTTCTTCAGAATCTCCTTCTTCTCCTTCTTCTTCTTCTTCTTCTTCCTTGCCTGTATGGTGTGACCTTCTTGTCTCATGGTCACCAGTGATGGTGTGCATGTTGGACGAAGTAACTGTTGTGATTTTCATCGTCGTCTGCAAGCTTTAAGCTCTGACTTACGTACACTGTCAGTGTTTTTGTCACAGATAATAAAGAGGGAAAACAACCAAAAAGCTCGAACAAACAAAACAACAGAGACAAACAGAAAAGGGAAGCCAACATAGCGCATCTAAGTAAGAGACCTCATGTGCATGAATGTACTGATCTGAACCAGAAAAGCGCCACTTACCTTATCGAGATGAAAGCATCTGGACAGCACCTGTGACCTCGTTCGTAAAATAGTTGTTCTATATACGGAGGACCACCTCATAAGAAATCCCACACCGCACTGAGATGGGAGAGAAAAGACAAATTATTACATCATTCAAGTGAGAATTGAAATGCGACGCAAGACAAATTACAGCATTAAATCTCGAATTGAAATGGGACGCACGATCCAATTTCCAGAAGCAAAAAAAAAAAAAAAAAAAAAAAAAAAAAAAAAAAAAAAAAAAAAAAAAAAAAAAAAAAATCCAGCCGGATGTGACGCTCCCCACTAGATAGTGCAGCCCTCCAGCCAAACCTTCACATTGAATTCTGGTGGTTCTCTCACCACCAGTCTCAAAACCTTTCTACAGATGGTGCAATCACGCATGCAAAACTTTCTACAGATGCTGATCATACGTAAATACCAGCCACTGGCATGGGTTGAAACAAAAAAAAAAAAAAAAAGGGGGCAACGGCTCCTTGGTCACACCCAGCATNGGCCGATGGACTATTAGGATTATACCAACCCTACCTAAAAAGGTGGCGCGTGGAGGTAGGCCGCACGATTCAGGGCCTAAGTGCGTTCAAAGTGGTGACCTTACCGGAGGCCGCGACGAGAGGTGAGTAGGAAGTTATTTATTATTTTTATTTTTTTGGACCACGGGCGTCCGCACCAAGGGCTGAAATGGATGGCACGGTAGCCGCAGGGTGCGGCAAGTGTAGGGTTGGCCAACCAGCCACCCAGCCTGCAACCACCCAGCGTGCAGCCAGCCGGCCAGCAACCAGCCTGCAACCAGTCGGGCAGCAATCAGCCAGCCACCCACCCTGCAGCCACCCAGCTGGAACGGCCGCCTGGGTGCAGCTTGACCCTTGCGCAAGGATGACACGCATAAATCGAGAAATGGTCCAAAACCAAGAAGGGATTTGAACCCGGGTCTGTACCTCGATGTGCCATAGCAGGCCACGATGGGACGTGACCGTTGGCAAAACCACAGTAATAATAATAATAAAAAAAAAAAAAAAAAAAAAAAAAATCTCCAAAAAGGCACAATGCCAAATTACTGCACACAATACCTTTCTCAGCCTTTTGGCTAAAAATAGATCAAGTGTAGTATCTGTTCTGAATCTTCTGATCCGTGGTCCATAGGACCATTTGGAAAAATAATAATAAAAAAAAAATCTGCACAAGGTGCAGTCGCACATGGCAGCACAGTTCACAATCTTGCAGCCTCCACTACAGCCGAAGAATA